AAATTGAAATTCGATAAATTTTGAAAACGAAAGTTGTAATCTTTTCCTGGCTTGTGCCTATTACCATTGTGCTTAGTAAACGCTCACCCTTAATGGTACCACTTGGGCGGTGGGGTAGCCTAGTGGTTAAAGCTTTCGCTCGTCATGTCGAAGACCCGGGTTCGATTCCCCACATGGGGACAATGTGTGAAGCCCATTTCTGGTGTTCCCCACCGTGATATTGCTGAAATATTGCTAAAAGCGGTGTAAAACTAAACTCACTCACTCACTAATGGTACCATTTGTCAGGGTTTATTTTGTACTTAGATTTTCGGTCAGGAAAATCTGTGAGCAAGACCAGTTGAGTAAAATAAGTTGCATATATTGTTTACAGATATTTATGCAAAACATTTTTGACAACAGAAGGGAAAACAATTTAAACTCAAATCTGTTTTCGCTTTGTGGTTCTTACAATATTTCCTTCTAGTATCACTGTTAAAACTAGAAAATCTGTCCATGATATTCGGGGGTTTGATTATGTGTGTTGAAAGTACAAGTGGTGTTTGATTTTGACAGTTTTCCTAGTTTTGACAGTCATCTTTGTTAAATTGATGCATTTGATTTATTGTCATTATTATCTTGTTTAACGAGTTGAATTGTTCTGCACCTTGAAATTTCATGAGCTTGTGACATACTTATCCATCCCTTGTTATCAGTAAAATTGTCCTTGTGTACGAAGCTGAATCTGTGCTCAAATTATTCCAGTGATGTTGTCTCTAAAGCCAAACACTGAAACAAATGGCCATGGGTTTGAATTACTGGGCTTATAACTACTGTAACTGTGCTTGTGGATTCACCAAAGTGGTGACTGTATCACATCAGGATTTTGAACCGCATTACGCTATCATGCTGTGATATCACTGGAATGCTATTCAAATTAGTATTGGGCAGTGGGGTAGCCTAGTGGTTAATGCGTTGGCTCGTCACGCCGATTCCCCACATGGGCACAATGTGTGAGGCACATTTCTAGTGTCAACTGCCATGATTTTGCTGGAATATTGCTAAAAACAGCGTAAAACTGTACTCAAAGAAGCATTGACCCCTGTTCACTCCCTCGCTCACTTTAAAAACATATTCACTGAGGATGCACTGATATTTAACAAGACTGTTATAGCAGCTATGTTTAACGTCATCGACTTATAGAGGCATAAATAGATGATGCTAAACGACCTTCCGTGTAATACCATTTTTTATTAAACGAGTTAATGATTTGACATCAAACGAGGAAAAGCAAGTTTGATGCTAAATATTTTATGAATTTAATAAAAATGGTATTTTATGGAAGTGTGTTTAGTTTTCTGTTTATTATTCTCCAACATAAATTGATAGAAACTGCCTACAGTGGGATGACTTTCCACGAGTCAAGTAAGATCAAATACCATTGTGACAGAGGTATTAGCATTGTGACGTCATGACTGTAAACCATTATGACGTCATTTGTCTACCGTTGTTACACTCGTGTGATATTGACGTAAACGTATTACACAGCAGTATCTTCCACGGGCGAGTAATAAATCATTAAGTTCGATGCTTTATGTAGACTGCATACAGATGACATTATAATGTATTTGAAATGTTTTGATTGTTTATGTTTTTGTTCTGTATCTCGCTTCTTGGTTTATCCTGCTGAAATTTTGTGGTTATGGTCACAGCTGTCTCGATAAATGCAGGAACATGATCAGTCGTAAGCAGGGCAGCCATGGTATGTCAGAGATGCCAACCCTCCCAAACTTATCAGAATCATGGTGACCCGAAAAATGATGACCCGATTGCGCCAAATTCATTCCGACTTTTTTCAAAATATAACAAAGTTATAGATAGCCTTACTTACTGGAGGGCTAGGATCATCTCTGACTATGAATAATGATAATTAAATAAATATAACACTTTCTCAAATGGTTTAGGATTTTATTTTTTGAGTGGAGAATTTTTTTATTCTTCTTGAAAAAATACGACCAGCGGATACGAGCTCAGATTCCTAATTGCACCAGTTTGGGTATATCATTCAGCTGTATGCAATGCTCAGTCTGCAGCATCGGTCTAGATGTATGAATAGAATGTGTTGTGTCACAACTTCAAAATTTCATATACATGTTATTTTGGTAAAGAGGTGGTCAGGAAGCTAAGAGGTTGAAGCATTGTCAGGCCACAGACCCACAATTGATTCCCTGCATGTGTACAATATGTGAAGAGCTACAGTGATTCTAATTCTGATTTCTTTGTTTTGGGTGGGGAGAACAAGAATACATTTCATTTAACTTTATAGTATTGTGTTTGTTATTAATCAGTGTTGTGCTGGTCAGATGCTACACCCTGGAAGAACTTCATACCCAGATTGTTGGTGTGGCTTATAGCACAAGTAACCTCAGAGCAGTGTGTTTGTTATTAATCAGTGTTGTGCTGGTCAGATGCTACACCCTGGAAGAACTTCATAACCAGATTGTTGGTGTGGCTTACAGCACAAGTAACCTCAGAGCAGTGAGTTTGTTATTATTCAGTGTTGTGCTGGTCAGATGCTGCACCCTGGAAGAACTTTATACCCAGATAGTTGGTGTGGCTTATAGCACAAGTAACCTCAGAGCAGTGAGTTTGTTATTATTCAGTGTTGTGCTGGTCAGATGCTGCACCCTAGAAGAACTTCATAACCAAATTGTTGGTGTGGCTTATAGCACAAGTAACCTCAGAGCAGTGAGTTTGTTATTATTCAGTGTTGTGCTGGCCTGATGCTGCACCCTAGGAGAACTTCATAACCAAATTGTTGGTGTGGCTTATAGCACAAGTAACCTCAGAGCAGTGAGTTTGTTATTATTCAGTGTAATGTGCTGGCCTGATGCGACACTCCTGGAAAAATATAGGACCTGATTGTTGGAGTAGATCTGTCACAAGTACAGCATATCAGTACATGTACACTAAATAAATGATGACAAAACATCTGACAATATGTCCAATATGAAAGATCTGTGAAGATCAGGTTAGGAATTGATCTTCAGTTACACATGCTTGTTGTAAGAGGCAACCATTGGATCAGGTCAGGCTCGCTTACTTGGTTAACTTGTCATCGTATCCCAATTGTGTAGATCGATGCTCATGCTGTTGATCACTGGATTGTCTGGTCGACACTCAATTATTTCCAGACTGCCACCATATAGCTCGAATATTGCTGAGTCCGACGTAAATATAAACTCACTCACTCCAATATGAAAACCTCAAACTGAAAATGATGGGTCAAGGTAACAATAATTCAATAGGCAATATATCACCTGACTCACAACAATGTGTGTGTGGCAGATGTGGTCTATTGATCAAGTAGTATTATGCATACTGTTGCTGGATGTGCTACAGTGATTGTGCCGGATGTTGTGAATTTCAAAATTTCACTGTATTAATTTCCTACTTTGCTTTCTTCTTGGTGGAGGGTTGAGAGCGGACATCATTGCAACCTGATCAAAGCCATTCCAAAAAGGTAGCTATGCTGGGACCAGGTTATTAATTGTATGAATTATACAATGAAGGTACAATACCTTGGATAAGTGAGGATGATACCAGGTGCTTGTTTCACACACACACACACACACACACGTCTGACCATGTACATATACCATCATTAGATATGAGACGCGTGAAGATCCAGGTTAGAATTGCTCTTCAGTAACCCATATGCTTGTCGTAAGAGGCGACTAACTGGATTGGGTGATCAGGCTGCTGACTTGGTTGACAAATGTCATCGTATCCCAATTCCGTAGATCAATGCTCTTGCTGTTGATCACTGGATTGTCTGGTGCAGACTCGGTTATTTACAGACCACCGCCATATAGCTGGAATATTGCTGAGTGTTGGGTAAAACTTATAAACTCATTCACACTCATGAGATATGTGCATGCAGGGATCATATAATAGAGATTGCAAGACCCCCATATACCAACCCAAGGGTCAAAGTCCAGCAGTGGATGGAGGTTGAGGGTTGTTATGTTGTATTTTATAAAATTGCCACCCAATACCCTTTTCATCATATACACCTAAAAAAACACCTAATGGCCAAAAATTCAGATTGTCCTAATTGAGACAAAATAGTTTCTGAATAACTGCGTGTGTTGGTCGGTTGCGAGGCCCTTATGTTTCATTTCGTTCACGTAACCTGTGCTTATTTTACTAGTAAATCTATGCAGTGTTTTTCCCCAACACAACATATAGCGCAATAATTCTAATTCCAGTGAACTGTTTAAATTACATGTCACTGGAATGATAGCCCAACGATACTCAAAGGGACGTAACTCTAATTTCTTTCATGGAGATTAGAATGAGACCGCCTGATCACGTGACCTTTAACAACTGAGCTATCTCGTTGAAACTGAAAAAAAATACAGGTAAGAGCGAAACATAATCATAATGTAGCATTACTCGGGCTTACTCGGTACATTTGACAACCTACATATTGCGGTCGAGGACATATTGTGGAAATCGTTGCCCGACAACGGAAAGATATCTGCTTTTGTCACAACTTCGATTGTGGGCGTGGAACGTAGACTTACGTTCAGTCTATGAAGTGAAATAATTCAAAGGAATCTTTAGTTAGTAAATTTCGCTATTAGAATGTATAACACAGGAGGTCAGATACTCGTTTCGCACGGGCCTAACTACTCAAACATCAGACACGACCGAGTTATGTCGGTCGGCTGTGGCCACGAGACTTCTGGAACGAATTAGGTCAGACGTAGAAAGGGGTAGCTTTCAGGTGTTACCAGGCTTCGATTATCGACGCCAGTTGGATTTTGGGGAGCTTTTCATTCTGCTGTAATATTGTTTTTGGAAGCGGCGAGTCAGCCTAAACATCTATCTTTACTGAGAAGGATACAAACGCATGTCAGGAAAAAAAGTCAGATATATTTTCATTTGTCAAAATATGAAAGTACAGAAAATAACATTATAATAGTTTTTGAACAATACTACACAGTTTCTAGAAGATGTTTAACAAGCACTTCCAGAACAAGTGTCTGAATAACGGCCACGTGACACATCGCAATACCGTGTGTGCCCACCTCGAGCTTAGACAGCTGACAGACATTGATAAGCAAAGTGCCCGAATCGAAACTTGTGGAGTGAGTGAGTTGGGTTTTACGCGTCTTTTAGCAATATTCCAGCAATATCACGGCGGGGGACACCAGAAATAGGCTTTACACATTTTACCCATATGTGGGGAATCGAACCTGGGTCTTCAGCGTGACGAGCGAACGCTTTAACCACTAGGCTACCCCACCGGCCCGAAACTTGTTGAATGACTCTCCAGTGAAATGTCAGATAGTGTCAACTACAAACTAAAGTTTGTCGAGGATTAAGCTGAAGTCTCACGCAGTGCCCAAAATCATCTAACATATGTTCGACCAGTATATGGCTCGTCACGCCAAAGACCCGGGTCTGATTCCCCACATGGGTACAATGTGTGAAGCCCATTTCTGGTGTCTCCCGCCGTGATATTGCTGGAATATTGCTAAAAGCGGCATAAAACCATACTCAGTCCGCCATACGCATTCCAGGCAGACTACAGGCCACGCCCCCATAATTTGTATGCTTAGCAGTACTTTTATAAGTGTATTTATGTTCTCCAACTGACAAAATTAACGACCTACATTTGGATGTATGTATTTGTAAATGTTTCGAGCAGCGATATGTAACAAATATTAATATTGAGTAAAACGAACGAGTAATCATTGCTACGCACACCACGTACTGGCGTATGAGCGAATGCTACAAAATGGTGACAAGGCGTTTGCATGCGTAAGCACATCTTCATGAAACATAGCTGACTTAGAAGAATTACATCCAGAGAGACGGAAGCACTCATTGGGTAAGCTGAAAATGTCTATCTGGCGATAAGCTGCAAGAGTTGTATTATCCCAAAGGAGTTGAGATTGATAATACAATGTGCCGTTTGAGATTGACATCCAATGATCGAGGTAAAACCAAAGCGCCTTTGAGCAGCTGCTGAGCTGGATATTGACGCTAATCTATAAAGAAGAAGAAGAACTGTTTAAGACTGGATTGTTGAGGTAGGTTGCGAATAAATTTTCAACAAAATTCTCTCCGAGGTCCACACAATTCTACCAAGAATGTAGGGAGTGCCTGGATCTAACTGGTCTAGAAGGCTTTCTCCTGGTATAGTATTGAGTCCCCAAACAGCCGATACGAGATCGCCATCTGTATGTATGGCTGCTTGTACTAGCCCACACTTAAGCTGGTTTTATATAATGCTAGCTCACTGAGATACCATGCCGCAGTGAAGCACGAATACCCCACTCAGACACATTATACTGACTCTGAGCAGTCGTTGTACCCATTAATGCCGGTCGCCAGGCAGGGACCAACAAGTACCATTTTGAACGTCTTTTGGTATGACGCTGCCGGGGATTGGGAATGCGGACGATGTTCAATCAGTGAATTCAACACTGCAGTCATGTTTTGCAGATGATGAGTTGTTTCTTTCCTCTTCTTCCTTGTTTCTGTTGATCCCTGCACTCATACTTGACCATAAATGGCTCAATAGCTGGTCGTAAGAGGCGACTTACGGGATAAGTTGATCAGGTTCGCTGACTTGGTAGTCACATGTTGTTGAAAGTCTGTTGCAGAGATCAGTGGTCATGGGATAATCTGGTCCAGACTTGATGATAACAATCTGGTCGAGACTTGATAATAATCTCTTCCAGACTTGAGTGCGGCGTTAGCTGACAATGACAAACAACGACAAAATCATAATAATAATAGTTTACGAAACGTAGGAATTCGATGTGGTACGTCAACACATTATATTTGGTTGGGACCCGTTATGGTCATGGTTAGAATTGATCTTCAGTGATCTTGACACATGCCATATCCAAATTGCGTAGATCGAATCTCATGCTGTTTATCACTGGATTGTCTGGTCCAGACTCGATTATTTACAGACCGCCGTCATATAGCTGGAATATTGCTGAAACTAAGCTCACTCACTCACTATATTTGGTTGGTATCTTAAAGGGAAAAACAAATCGGCTTTTGGACGTGTGGTGAATCGACGATCAGCTATCGATAATCATACATATTATCAGCATTTTTCTTCGTGGTGGTTGTTGAACTTTTTCCGATCTTGGAAGGCTCTCTCTTCGCCACTGGAACCCCACTGTCCACCGCTTAAGAATAGGAATGGGACTACCACCATCCCTTAAGTTGACAAGGGTGCGTATTGCCGTTAGCACCTTCACTTATACACTTGATGGCAGAGTGGTAACCAGATTGGGCCATTGTCATCAAGAGAATAGCTTGTCAGCTTGATGCCAGCAGGGATGCACTGGCTGTTCACCGGGTTCACCTGGTTCCCCACATGGGTACAATGAAGCCCATTTCTGGTGCCCCCGCCGTGATATTGCTGGAATATTGCTGAAAGCAGCGTAAAACCATACTCACTCATTTCAGAGACTAGGTGTTAGTCAATGAGAAAGTGTAAATCCAAATATAACATATGTTAATTTGACCACTTTCTAAATGGCATTGTGTTTTCGAAGCTGGGCACCTTTGAAGACCCGGGTTAGATCTGATCTTCGTAATAGGCAACTAACGGGATCTGGTGGTCAGACGCGTTAACTTGGTTGACATATGTCATCGCATCCAAATTGCGTAGATCGATGCCCAATGTTGGTGATCACTGGATTGTCTGGTTCACACTCGATTATTTAGAGACCGTCGCCATATGGCTGGAATATTGCTGAGTGCGGCGTACAATTAACCTCACTCACGAAGTAGGTCAGTTGAGAACTTCTTGTAATATCACTGCTAAAAGCGGCGTAAAACCATACTCACTCAGTCAAACCAGGTAACCTGCATTGGTTAAGTCATTATGCCACATATGTTACAATATGTTACAGTGAACATTCTCTTGTTGATATTCCAGGTCAGGTTCATCATGTTTTCGACGGTCTGGAAGCCAGAGATGGTAATGTGTGATGTCGAGTTTGGGAAAACCCTCCAAGAGCGGGAGTTCACATTCCAACAAGGAACTGTTCCACTCAACCATGGGTCATACGGCGCTGTTGCCAGACGCATGCAGGAAGTGCAGAGATGGTAATGTGTGAGGGTGAGAGTGAGTGCGGTTTGTATGACTCTGCGGGGCGGTGGGGTAGCCTAGTGGTTAAAGTGTTCGCTCGTCACGCCGAAGACCCGGGTTCGATTCCCCGCATGGTTACAATGTGTGAAGCCCATTTCTGGTGTCCTCCGCCGTGGTATTGCTGGAATATTGCTAACAGAGGCGTAAAAAAACCAAACTCCACTCCACTCAACCATACGGCGCTGTTTTGCCAGACGCGTGCAGGAAGTGCAGAGATGGTAATGTGTGAGGGTGAGAGGAGTAGAGTGCGGTACGCCACTAGTGGTTAAAGTGTCTACTCGCTCACGCCACCCGGGTTCGATTCCCCGCATGGTTACCAATGTGAAGCCCATTTCTGGTGTCCTCCGCCGTGGTAGTAATATAACAGAGGCGTAAAACCAAACCAGCTCACTCGCCTCCACTCAACCGTACGGCGCTGTTGCCAGACGCGTGCAGGAAGTGCAGAGATGGTAATGTGATTTCTTGGAGGCCGTGGTTAAATTGCGGTTTGTTTGACTCTGCGGTGCCGTGGGATAGCCTAGGGATTAAAGCGTCAATGATCAGGGTTTGATTTCCCATATGATTTAGCCCATACCACCGTGAAGCCCACACCGTGATATTGCTGGAATATTGCTATTGCGCAGATCGATGCTCATGCTGTTGACCACTGGATTGTCTGGCCCAGACACGATTGTTTACAAGCCGCCACCATATAGCGGAATATTGCTGAGTGCAGCGTAAAACTAAACTCACTCACTCACTCATTCATTTATTTGTTATTTTAACGCACCAACAGAGCATACAGCCTAGCCATAATGATGACTGTCTGTAAAATCGATTCTGTACATGGGGTTCGATCCGCAAAGGATTCGTAGCTCTACGTTATCCTATGATAAACTATAGAATTTCGACAGGTCGTAATGTTACGACCGCTTTGTGGACTGGGTCACTTTTTGTCCTATGTAAGGCGTGTAAAGTGTACGTAGGACTAGGTCATTCGTAATCCTACGATAAAGCACGTAGCACGACAGCACGTAACTCTACGAACGCTTTATGGATCGAGACCCAGATTAGTTAGTTATATTATGGATAACATTCCGTGCAGTGGGTGAACGATAGCCACAATCTCATACATAAGAGATGACAAAACGAATGAGTGTTGAATATGAAACATATTCCAACGAGATATTTTTAAACGTTTTGATTTATTCACGAACGAAACCTCCGTTGTGTTCCTGATTTTATTACAAACGTGTTCTGAATATCTTTATGAGATAACTTTGGCAATTTGAAACAGGTATTGTGTAACCTGTTGAAAGTTATCCGACGGGGTTTGTGTAACGAAACTGGGTTGTTCATAATGCCGAACTTTCTGTTGCCACCTCGATATTTTAACAAAAAATGTCAACAATACAAAACTTTAGGTTTGTTGATAATTAAAATTAAATTTCGGTGTCCTGGGGATTAGTATTTTTTGTAATTTTTTTATAAACGCTCGTGAATAAATCAAATCATTTAAACAATATCTCGTTGGAATATTTTCCAACTTCCACTCGTTTTGTAATCTATGTATACACCGGAGGTGAAAGGAGCATATACGTCACATTAATGACTATTGTTGATGCCCCACTTACAGTCGACCTGCCGACATCCGACCGTCAGACAGGGTAACAAAAGTACCATCTTCTTTACTATTGACGTCATTTGTTCTGATACGATAGGAGACAGCCTCCGTGGTGTAGTGGTTAGAGCGTGAGCGGAAGGTGGCGGGTCTGATTCCCGACCGCGTCATACCAAAAGACGTTAAAATATGGTACTTGTTGTCCCTGACTGGTCGGCTCTAAGTCAGTATAATGTGTCTGAGTGGGGGTATTCATGCTTCACTGCGGCATGGTATCTCAGTGAGCTAGCACTACAAAACTAGCTTCAGTCTGGGCTAGTACAAGCAGCCACCCATACACATACACGCATGCACGTCGTCATATGAGCGAAATACATTTGTATTCTCAAGCACGACGTAAAACCCAATTTCACCCACCTCACCTCACCTCACCTCTGATACGATAGGGGATCGAACGTAGAACTTCCACTCTCTGTGCAAACGCTGTCACTAAGCCATGTTTGATTTGAATGGTAAATATTAAATACACATTACCAATGAATATCCGGGTTAGAATTTGTCTTCAGCCACCGTGCTGTAAGAGGCGACTAATTGGTTCGAGTGATCAGTCTCGCTGACTTGGATTATGCATGTAGTATCCCAATTGCGTACTGCGTAGATCGATGCTCATGATGTCAATCACTGGATTGCCTTGTCCGTACTCGAATATTTACATACCGCCGTCATACAGCTGGAATATTTGTGATGGCCGTGTTATAATGAAACATACAAACATTGTTTTATTATGAATTATTAACAACACATTTCCTCAATCCCAGCTTCCTGACGGAGATGAACGCCCAGCCCGACCTATGGTTCCGAGACAGCGTTAACAAGCATTGGGACGAGTCTGTTAGGGCGGCGGCCCGGTTCTTCAACTGTGATTCCCAAGACATAGTGTTTGTTACCAACGCTACAGAGGGTAAGCCCAGGGTGCCGTTGTACAAAGCAACCATAGCGCTAAGGAGACCATAACTCCCATACCTTAAATACTAGTAGACTTAAGGTAGTCTCAGCGCTAAGGTATGTTGTGACGAACCTAGCCACATGACGAGGGCAAATTTGAGATTCAAACCCACGATCATTTACGGCATGTGCAGGGGACGCAACTCTGCAAGCCAAATTGCAGCATTTCACAATGAGGCGATTGTCGACCGTATACAGGTCTTATAAAAGTGATAGGGCTAAGTGAAGCGTGCTAAATAATGTACTATGTGTAAGTTTTATCCCACCGGCATGTAATGCGGTGGGATATAGTCGTCGCCTCGTCCGTCCGTGAGCCCGTCCGTAATCATTTTGTTTCCGGAGCGTAACTCAAAGACCGTTCGATATTTTTCAACAAAAAATTGGTAGATATGTCAAACATAACCTAAGACTTTTGCTATTTACAGATTATTGTCATTTATATTTTTCTCGGTTTCCATGGAAACGTTTTGATCTTAGTCTTAAAGAGGGGTGGGCTTCGTTCCGGAGCATAACTCAAAACCGCTCAATATTTTTTCAACAATACTTTGTAGATATATCAAACAGATCCTAAAGTTGTGCCTTTTGCTATTTGCAGATTTTTGGCATTTTTATTTTTCCCGATTTCCATGGAAACGATTCGGACTTAGTCCCAAAAAGTGAGGGGTAGGCTTCGTTTCCGGAGCATAACTCAAAACCGCTCAATATTTTTCAACAAAACTTGGTAGATATATCAAACAGATCCTAAAGTTGTGCCTTTTGCTATTTGCAGATTTTTGGCATTTTTATTTTTCCCGGTTTCCATGGAAACGATTCGGACTTAGTCCCAAAAGTGAGGGGTGGGCTTCGTTTCCGGAGCATAACTCAAGAACCGTTAAATATTTTTCAACAAAACTTGGTAGATATATCAAACAGAACCTTAAGTGGTGCCTTTTGCTATTTTGCAGATTTTGGGCATTTTGTATTTCCATGGAAACGTTTGGACTAAGTCTCAAAAGGGCGGGGTAGGTTTTCGTTTCGGAGCACAACTCAAAACTTCTTAATATCTTTCAGTAAAACTTGGCAGATATGTAAGACAGATCTTGAAGTGCTGCCTTTGCTATTTGCAGATTTTGTCATTTATTTTTTCATGATTTCCATGGAAAAGATTTGCACTTAGTCTAAAAAATCAAGCTGGACTTTAAGTAACTGTCAGATTATTTGTTCTTTCAAAGATGTGAGGGCTGGGGATATGTCATCTTCTGATGACTCATGTTGGTTTGGCTATTGTTTAATGCCGTTCTCAGCAATATTCCAGCTAAACTGACGCACAAAAGAAAGTACACACCTGGTGTTTTGGGATTATTTGAAAAGTGTTGTGATTTTGACTGGCAACTTCGCAATTGGGCACGATATCTCTGGTGTTTTGGCAACATCTTAGAAAAGTCTGTGACTTATATATCACTGTAGAAGCTCTTTTCCAAACATTTACGTAGCTTTTTGGAAAGTAGTCCAAATGCACCGGGTGTGTACTTTCTTTTGTACGTCAGTTTATATAGCGGCGGTCTGTATATAATCGAGTCTGACCAGACAATCCAGTGATCAACAGCATGAGCATCGATCTACGCAATTGGGAACCGATGACATGTGTCAACCAAGTCAGTGAACCTGACCACCCGATCCCGTTAGTTGCCTCTTACAATCATGGGTTGCTGAAGACCAATTCTAACCCGGATCTTAACGGGCCTATGTATCAGTCATCTGTCGGGTTGCTCTGTCTGCTGAAATATAACTGGTTCATTTGACGGTTTTTAGTTATGAGGAAGGTCAATTCAGGTCATGTTTCAAATGAAGAATCTATATTCACATTGTTATATTCTTTCAGGCATCAACGCTGTGCTGAAATGCTATGATTTCAAAGAAGGCGAGACAATCTTGTCCACCAGTCTCACATATGGAGCAGTAGCTCTCACATGCAGGGACGTCGCTGCCCAGAATCGAGGTACGCCGTTATAAGGAATATGGTAGGATTAGTGGGTTCCTCTTTGAGCAGAAACTTCATGGGCCCTGGGGGCCAGACCGCCTCCGTGGTGTAGTGGTTAGAGCGTCCGCCCGGAGAGCTGAAGGTCGCGGGTTCGATCCCCGACCGCGTCATACCAAAAGACATTAAAATATGGTACTTGCCTGGCGCTCGGTATTAATGGGTACAACAAGGACTGGTCGGCCCGGAGTCAGTATAATAATGTGTCTGAGTGGGTATTCATGCTTCACTGCGGCATGGTATCTCAGTGTGCTAGCACTATAAAACCAGCTTAAGTCTGGGCTAGTACAAGCAGCCGCACATACACATACACACACATGCACGTCGTCATATGAGCGAATATTCTCAAGCACGACGTTAAACCCAATTTCACCTCATCTCACCTTTGACGAGCGAACGTATTAACCAGAAGGCTACCCACCGCCCCTTTGTGATTATGATGATATTGACATTCCACATCACGAATGATATTGTCAAATATATTTCGGACGTCAGTGATGTGGATAAATTCTCAGAAACATTTATTCTTGTGTTTATTATTTGACTTGTTTCATAAGTTTTAGATCTATACATGATGACTAAATGGTTTAATTACAGTTATCAAGTCCGAGGTTCTGGAAATTCGGTTCCCGATTGAGAGCGAGGAAGCAGTGTTAAGACAGTATGAAGAGATTTGCAGAATCACCCCAAGACCAGAATTGTGGTGATAGGTAAGGAGCGGGCCTCTACATACAGTCTGAAGCTGGGTCTAGAGGCCCAGATAAGCTGCGTATCCGGGTAAAATACGCATAGAAACTTCCCACTACGCATTGAAAATAATTGTTGCGTACCAATTACGCATTTAAATCCGTTAGATACGCAAAGCGTTTAAAACAAATGCGTATGGAATATACTTATAAAAATCGCTTGCGTAATGAAAAAGACATCGATTGCTATCTAGTTGTACTGTGAGAATAGGACAAGTGTTGTACTGTCAGTATAGGATGACAGTTTTTTTATAAAATCATTTCCCTTATATTTAAGTTGGTTTTGATTAGGTATGACATAAGACAGAACATACCTACCTAGTTTAGTAAACTTACTCAATGACACAATACTTAAGTGTGTAAAATGACTAAAATACGTACATATTTGAAAGCAGGGTAACGGTAAATGAAATACCCACTCAACATTCATAATACCCAATCTAAAAATATACAGTGGGTACAGTACCCACATTAGCTCAATCTTATCTGGAGCCTCCTGCTGGGTCACTCCTTTATAAATGTGGATCTCACACAATCATTAAGTTAGGTGTCCTCGAACTTTACCAAAAGTGGTATCGCATTAAAGTAAAATATCGTCATAAGATTGACAAATATGAAGGTATTTAAATGATTAAATCTTTTCAGGACTGAAAATCTTCCTGTTTTAACAAGGGCTTGTCTCAACCGTCAGTGCACCAGTAATCCAGTATTGTACTTCAAGTAAAAGATCTGTTTTTAGTGTGATTATCATATTTTTTCAGCTGCGTTGAATAATCAGTTTGCTATTAAATGAAAACTTCTACAGCTGGACTTGAATATGACTTAAACCGAGGAATGTTATCCCTACCTTGATATATGCTCGACACACGTCACATTTCCCAGTAACGTCTCTGGTTACGTTATATTGTTTTAATAAGCAATTAAATGAGCCTTCAACAGCTATTACATTTGCGTGTGTGCACTGATTGGCCTTTAAACAGCAATACAAACAATACACAATGATCGTCACCCACTTGCACAAAGCGATCTTAGTGCTACAATGATTGTAACTCCCATTCTCCAACATAGGCTTAAGATAGTCGTAGCGCTAAGATCGCTTTGTACAAGTGGGCCCTGGTTATTACTAGTGGTGGTCCGATTAATTGAAATAATAATTGTAATCGAATATTGGTCGCAATGACTAAACGACCAGGCAATCAATCATGTTTTCTCATAATCGAACACATACAATTTTGGAACACTGGTTTGCATTAACAACCATTTTCACAAGGTAGGTTTTGTCTGTTACATTTCCCGAAGTACTACAAGCTCATTCCTTGTCATGATTGAATTATCCAGGAAATTTAGGTTCATACCATACTAGTCATCCTTTAAGATGTGAAATTTGTAAAATGCATTTTGTGCAATTTGAAGAAAAAATCCGAAAGAACTACACATTTTTTTCTATATTTTTGTGCATTAACAAACATAACCAGGAGAATCTGATAAATGACGCTAACCAATTATTTTCGATGATCTTGTCATGATCATCATCATTGCTGCAAAGAGACATATTCACTTATGCAGTATTAAAAAATATGCTTCCAAATCTAACTTTCTATATAAAAACTCTAAAAGAAATATTGTTTTGTGGAAAACATATATCAGCAAAAAATAATAAAATAAATACTTTCCATCATAAATGGAGCCTTCTCTCCCCAGTACTTAGATGACTCGAACTGTTTTGACTTGTACCTGACATTATCTGTACGTTATCTATTTAATGAATTATGCATGTTTATAAATATATTTTTACAAAAATATTTCACCTGTACAACATGTAGCATGCTTTATATTACTTTAAGCCGTACGTATGTACGGCTTTGGTATCATCTTGGTATATCTGCAATATTGTAATCTTGGGAACCAATACAAAAATACAAAAAACAACAACCAAAAACAATTATTTTCGATGATTGATCGATTGTAATGAACCAATTGTCAATTGTGAGATGTCATCCAGTTCCCAACACTAGTTGTTACCAGCTCCTTTCCGAGTACAGAAAGATAAACAGATCAACCGCAGTTCCGCAGAAAATGTCACACCCTCTTGAAAATACCCTTGGTCACATTCAGCATAAGTTGTTATGTTAAAAACGAAAACACTAGATATTTAACACCACCCCACCCCACCCCACCCCACCTCCACCCCAAGAAACGTGTTCTGTTTTCAATATTTGATGGATGTACATTTACAAAGAACCACAACAAACTCACACAAATTCATCCAATCATTAGCTGCCAGATGTTTGCAACAGCACTGAAGGGTACGAAAGCCGCTTGATAAACGACAGATGCTGATGTAAACGGTTATTGTCTTGTCGGTTTGTTGTTATCCAGATCACATCACAAGCCCGTCTGCTGTGTTGCTCCCTGTGAAGAAGTTGGCGAAGATTTGCCACAAACATGGCGCTCTCGTGTTGGTTGATGGTGCGCATGCGCCCGACATGTTCCTCTAGATTTGGAGGATCTCTGCGTCGACTTCTATACAGGTAGAACAAGTCCTTGTATGACAGATATGTAGGGTTGAGATTGGAGACGGAGAGTAGGTTCCATTAAAATGCCCTTATCTTTGAATTAGATTCCCAGCAAATAAGCACGATATGTGAGGCAACTTACACAACGGTTGTTTACACTCCGTGGCTTAGGTTGGTTGGGTGTCGTTGTACCCCAATGGCGTGTGTCCAACTTCATCTACTGTTTGAGGGGGTCCAATTCACAGTTTTCAAAGGCTGACAATAATGAATAAATGACTTAAGGATCAAACCGAAGCATGAGTCTCTTTAACCTATTTAGACAATGACCTACTTTTCAGCCGATCCGAATCATCTCCCGTGAAAATGAAAAGAGACACCACAAACAACTATGGTTACACTGCATTCCAACCCTTGTTTCATAAGAAAATGGTATTTACAAGTTAATTTTAATTTGAAATTTGAATTGCAATAATTTGCTGGGTGAAAGATAATGTCATCAGAAACATATTCCCAAATTTTCAATTAAAAATTATGTATAATTATGCTTTAATCGCGAAAAACAGTTTCTGTAAATCTCAGCTTCGGCCATTATGCATATTTCGCTGGAACCCACGTGACCTTTCCGCTCGTGACGTCAAATGTGCCTGGTGTCCGCCATATTGCCAAAGACCAAGCGCTACAGTAGTACAAATCGTGTTGTTTCTGTCGTTTTTGTAAATGGTACAATGGTGTACTCTGTTGCCTGAGGATGCACGGAATCATCGAACAATGGAAAGCCACCATTTCTTCCGTTTTCCAAGTAAAGAGACAGACTTAGGCAGGAGAAATGTTACATGCTTACTGTCAGTGGTATTTTTAAAATAAATTAAATCAAGTACTATTGCCAGTCGAATTCACTCTATAGGGTAGTTAAATGCTCATTTCTATTTAAAATGATTAAATATCAGGCCAGTTAAATGCATAGTTTTGTCAACTTTGATATTATGTTCTTCATATAAAAAGTATAAACATAGTTATGAGTTTACAGGATGGAACATTTATCAGAAATATTACTTCTTAATAACTTTATATGAAGAACATAATATCAAAGTTGACAAAACTATGCATTTACAGCATATATTTAATCATTTTAAATAAATTTGACCAAATTAGAATGAATGACCAAATTTACTGGGGCATTTTGTAGCTGGGGCAGTTCCACTGGTACCCATGAGATGGATATCAAAAATCAGTAAGAGATTCTTCACATGAGCTTGAAAATGTTTCGCTAAGACGTTCTTTCGGTTTGGAGCCCTAAATGATGCAGACTACCCGAAACATTGCCGAATACAATGGCAAATCACGAATTACTGCTTGTTGCTTCTATTGTTTTCCATTTTGCCCACTACGCACGTCGGCATCAGATTCAAGCATTTGTCAGTAGTGTGTGCCGTGAAAGTTGTTCTGTATTCACATTGGATGACAAGATGTCATTCTAAGGCTATGGCCGAGTACCATAACTATTTCCATAACCAAACACTGGGGAAACATACATTGTTCTGACAAGTATTTTATAATTCACCAGTTTTCGGGGAATAACTTATCTGCGTCGCGTAATATTATCTCTGCTCGACCAGGCTGGGATTTTGTTTGAGACTCTGCTACGTTATTAATGAGAACTAGGATCCTATTTTTTTCAAAAATAACTCCTTAGTGTAATTTTTGTAGCAGATATTTTCTATTTTTCCCCGTCTGAAGCAGCAATTATTGTGTTTTTAAATCCCAGACATCCTACAGTCACCCATTTGACACAAAAGGAACTGCAATCACATTGCAAAAAATATAATTCTAAGGGACTGGTCATATATTTATAGGGGTGGGTTTGTTGGTTGGAACTGTATGACATTTTGCTGTCAAATATGTGTTTTTGCGCTTATTCAGTGTAGTTTTGTAACGCACAATGTGCATGATATAATACCAAGTCCGTACCAGACCGCCAAACATTTCTAGCGGCGGAGCCCTCGTTCTGAGATTTCCACGATTTCCAGATTTCCGTTTGTCAGAGCCCGCTGTACGACAGAGCACGCTGCACGACGTGTTTGCAAGGATTAGAAGGAGCGTAGTGTTGCAATATACAGGTGCTTAGATGTATCAAATAATACTGTTAAATATTTATGTATCCAGCTGGAATGAATTTGTCTCAGAATTCTGACTGGTTATTGTACTTAGGTGCGCAACAGGACGGAACCCAATTAGCAGGAAACGAGACTCTTGTGTAATCAATGTTTTGACTTTGAAATGTGTTTTAAACTCTGCACTCGGTATTATGCTCCAAATTATATTAAAACTGTTCATAAGTATATATGTAAATCTAAACGATTCCAGTAGTCTCTCTTCTACACACCTTCTGTATTATAACATTCCCTGAACTGCCAGTCTTCCTCTCTGTCTCTGTTTCTAAATATAATTGTTTGTGATGTAATTAGTGATTGTAAATATCTTTGAGAGGGTTTCATAAGTTGTAAGAACTTGTCCCCGATACTATTCACATTGTGAATAAAATATGTTTGAACTAAACTAAACAATCGAGTCTGGACCAGACAAGGGAGTGAGTGGAGTGGAGTTGGGTTTTACGCAGCTTTAGCAATATTCCAGCAATATGGGACACCAGAAATGGGCTTCACAAACTGTGGGGAATCGAACCCGAGTCTTCGGCGTGACGAGCGAACGCCTTAACCACTAGGCTAACCCATGTCTAACACTGATGTTCACGTAGTGTTGTTAAATGTAAAACTATGTGTTTCGTAAATATATAAATTTGCTTTTGAAAGACTTCATATAATTCACAACATTCAAGTTTGCTTTGGGGATCAAGGGTGAGATCACACTCACCTGCGTTTGCCGTCGTTCACATGTGGAATGAAAAAATATGGTTTCCGGCAAGTGTTGAATGGTTTAAATATATCTGACAGATAGTAATGATGTTTGACAGTAATATAATGTCTCTCTCGGTAAAGCAGTGCATCTGTTTTAACACAGGTAACTTCCATAAGTGGCTCTTCATCCACGCGGCTGCGCAGTGCTATATGTCAACAGGAAGCATCACGATTGATAAACCTTTAGTGACGTCCCACTCGGCTGACGGTTCCTTTGGTGAGCAGTTCCGTAAGCCGGAACACGTGACCACGTCCTGTTTTGTGTGCGCGAAATACGCTTTGGAGTTCTGTGACAGAATAGGAGGAATGGTGAGACTCTCCGAATAGTTTCTTTTATTCATATGAAGCGAGGCGCGGTGGGATAGCCCTGTACCTTAAATCCTGAGTGAGTGAGTGACTGAGTTGGATTTTACGCCGCTTTTAGCAATATTCCAAAAATATCACCGCGGGGACACTGCGAAGGGCGTGCCGCAGAAGCACTTGTTTTAACATGTCAAATTAATGTGAAAGAATGCAAATCTTAAGAAGCATACGTAAAATCAACTTCTCTCTGACTCGTAACACCTTCGGCTTGCGTAATTAATCCACCTTTGAGGAGTGAGTGTCTTAGTTTTACGCCGCTTTTAGCAATATTCCAGCAATATAACGGCAGGGGACACTAGAAATGGGCTTCAAGCATTACTGGTAACCCATGTGGTTAATTGAACCCGGGTCTTCAGCGCGTGACGAGCGACGGGTTTAATCCACTAGGCTACCCCCAGCGCCGCTAGTATTACCGAAAAATAAATCACCCTCACGAAACGAAAAATACCTTATTGGGAGCAATAATGCAACTGAACGGAAGCAATCGAGCAGCAA